TCTGCATCATTAGTACTCTAAGAAAAAAGCAAATTGCTTTTGTAAAGTGAATATATATTCTTCATTGCTTAATTTTTTTCTAGGTAAATGTAAGGACTTAAAATTCTTTGACGGGCTGGGAAGGTGGCTCAGTGGTAGAGCACTTGCCTTGCAAGCATGAGGTCCTGGGTTCGATTCCCCAGCACCACATAAGCAAAAAGAAAAAAGCCGGAAGTGGTGCTGTGGCTCAAGTGGTAGAGCGCTAGCCTTGAGCTGAAGAGCTAAGGGACAGCGCCCAGGCCTAGAGTTCAGGCCCCACTACTGGACCCAAAATAAATAAATAAATAAACAAACAAATAAATAATATTCTTTGAAAGCTTATCACTGAAATGTAGCAACTGCTTTTATTTTGGTGAACAGTTTTCCACGTTGCTTGATATGTGCAAATAGAGATCTATGTGTGCACTTTTATTAAGTCAGTGAGCTGTAAACCCTCTGTACATCACCTTTATAATAAGAATACAATTTTTTAAAGTTAATGATGCTTCCTATTTTCGTACATAATTTTTTTCTTTTTGGCTCAATAGAGATAGATTTATCACATTAATGTTAAATGCTTGCATAGCAATTCACTTTTTCATATATTCTAATTTACTTAATATGACTCCTATGGTGGTTTTAGATAATTGTCAGTTTTGGGTTTTTATAAGCAATGTTGTATAAACATTCTGAGTACTTGAAATAACTCTGTGTAATTACTCCTTAGATTAATTACTAGAAGTAAAATTTCCAAAAATGCTTTCAAAATAGTATAGACAAGTAAAGCTTGCAGTAAAGGTAGACTGAGGGGCTAGTGAATCTGGGTGATGTTGAATTTGGGGAAGGGAGGATTAAAAAATTTACTTTTCTGCAGGGAGCCTGTGGCTCACGCCTGTAATCCTAGCTATTCAAGAGGCTAAGATCTGAGCATCACCACTCAAAGCCAGCCTGAGCAGGAAAGTCCATGAGACTCTTATCTCCAATTCACTACCACAAAACCAGAATTGGTGCTGTGGCTCAAGTGGTAGAGCACTCGCCTTGAGGTGAAGAGTTGAGGAACAGCACCCAGGCTAGAGTTCAAGGCCCAGAGTTCAAACCCCACTACCAACCACCCCCCCTAAAAAAATAATTTTTTCCCTCACCTCCTCCTTACTGATTAAATTTTACTAACTTGATATCAAATAAATTTGTAAATCCTGAATGTTAACTGACAACTTGATGAAGGGCCTGAAAGAAATAGATAACAAGGTGGTAGCCTGGCATTTGAAATATACATGAATCCACAGTGATTAATCCGTTATCAGGTAATCAGTGAATCTTCTAGAAAGTGAGAGAAGCAGACCATATTTGTACTTCCTATCCCAGCTCACTTACTTGCTAACTGTGTTCTCAGTACTTGGTACTCATGGTTTAGAATTGTTTCCTGTTAAGTCTAGAAACTCAGGATAGCTACTTTGTGTAAAAGTGTGAAAAATACTTCTAAGTTCCCATTCTTTCATTTGCTAGCTTATCTGTTTCCAGTCTTATTTGAGAATGACAAGGGGAAATAAACCTATTTATAAGCCAAGTGCAGTAGTACATGCCTATAAACCCACATGCTGTTATCCCAGCTACTGAGACTGTTGCAAAGTTTATGATATAGTCTCTTGTACCTGCTGTCTTGTCAGATGGCAAATGTATGTAAGCCATAGAACCAGTAATTAAATGATATATTAATTGCACTGTTCTGTAAAGTTACTTTTAGTAGCAAAATTTCTTAGATATGAGTTAAAAAATCATATATTTTCAGTATCCCAATACTGAGTATATATGAAAGGTGGATTTTTTGTGTGTGTTTTTGTTTTTTTTTTTTTTTATCTGTCATAAGAGCTTGAACTCAGGGCCTAAGTGCTGTTCCTAAGCTTTCATGCTGAAGGCTAGTGCTCTGTTACTTTGAGGCACAGCTCCACTTCCTGTTTTCTGGTGGTTAATGGGAGATAAGAGTCCCACAGACTTTCCTGCCCAGGCTGGCTTTGAACCATGGTCCTCAGATCTCAGCCTCTTGAGCAGCTAGGATTACAGGCACCTGGCTGAAGGTATTTCATGCTAAGAAAGCTGTTTTTGTTTTTGCTTTGGGTCCGGTTGTGGGGCCTGAACTCTGGGCCTGGGCACTGTCCCTCAGCTCTTCAGCTCAAGGCAAGTGCTCTACCACTCGAGCCACTGCGCCACTTCTGACCTTTTTTTTTTCTGCTTATGTGGTGCTGAGGAAGCGAACACAGGGCCTCATGTATGCAAGGCAATCGTTCAATCGCTGAGCCACCTTCCCAGCCCAAGAAAACTGTTGAATAACAGTAGGTCCATTTGTTTTTACAAACAAAAGAAATTTCTGTTTTTATCATTTCTTATTTGTGATTATTAGACAGGTAAACTATCTGTGCCATATCTTTACTTTTTGTTGTTGTTGTTGGTTGTGGGGCTTCAACTCTGGGCCTGGGCTCTGTTCCTGAGCTCTTTAGCTCAAGGATAGCCCTTTACCACTTGAGCCACAGCACCACTTCTCATTTTCTGGTGGTTTATTGGAGATAAGAGTCTCACTGAGTTTCCTGCCCCAGCTTGCTTTGAACGGTGACACTCATGTTTCAGCCTCCTGAGTAGCTAGGATTATAGGCATGAGCCATGAGCCAGGATGTCTGGCATATGTTTACTTCTTAATGTTATGGAATGAGTCTTTAAAAAATATATTTTTAATAGAAAGAGAAGTAACTTATTACTGTTTGTGTAATGCCTGGTTCCCCTTCCTTTTAGTGTTCTAATATCCTTCTATAATGCTGAAGATGAGTCAAACCTTCTCTTACCCAAGCTGCCCACATTACCAAAAAAGTAAGTATCAGAGTTGTATTTCTTTGGACTTAATCTTGCAGGTTAATCTGCTTTAAATATTGGTACATACTTCTCTCATGAGTATCATTTTACCTTTGTCTCTCTTTTCTCTCGTTACAGCAGCACCTCAAAAATATTTAGGTAAGATGTACTTTTTTGCTGTTTTCAAATAAAATAATGGTTTTTTTTTAGTTGAAAGAACATGGTTGAAAGATGACTCAATTTATTTTTATATTGTAGTGAGGAGAATTCTGATGAAATTATTAAATGCTTGGGAGATGTCAGGTAAATCTAATTTAAATAAGTCTGATTTCTTTAAGTCACTTTTCATATTGGAGGAGCATTTCCAAATTTTCAGGAGCAAATCTTTTGTTATGTTATCTCATTGTAAACACTCCGTGTCTTCAAATAATAGATGTCACCGTCTTGCTGTTTTTACTGTGTGCTCGTTCTTTGTTTCATGTGTTAGCAGTAATGCAGTATACTTGTTTTTAATAAGTAAAAGGGGATAGTACTAGAATTTTTAAAATTTCAATTTTAATTATCCAAGTTCTTCATTGTGTCATATCCATAATAAAACTGTTTTGTTATTGGCTGTATGTGAATACAATTATTAGTATGTTATGTTACTATAAATGCTTAATGTTAGCTATAAGAAATATATATTGTTCTTCGGAAACAAAAGAAATGGCCTGCTGTGATTGAATATTGAGAGTTGCTGTGTTTGCTTAGTGTATCAGTTTTCCCCAAAGAGGAATTTTAGCACTCAGATTAGATGAAAGCAGTAACAATTGATATTTTGGCTAAAAAAACCACGGTCATCTAAAAGAGAGAAGAGGAGCCAGCAGGAGGGAGAAAGGAAAAAGAGATGGTGAGGGAAGGTGAATATATATGTATGACAATACCATCATGAAGCCCTCCAGAAACTTAGGAAGGAATAGATAGGGAGGAAGGATAGTTAAGAAAGAGTAATATAGATTAGGAGTAAATTTAATCAAAGTATATTATATTCATGTTGTAAATATCACAGTGTAACACTTTTGTACTATAAGTTCATGCTAATTATATTTTAAAGATAGTGTAGAAATAAAATCAACAAATATAAAAAACACCCACAATCATCTGTGTTGTTCACTGGTTCTCTGCTTGTTACATTTTTTTATTAGATTAAATATTCTTGTCCTTGGAGGAAGCTCTGGATTTATTCAGCTTTATGCTTATGGGATGTTCAAAATTGCTCGAGTCACAGGGGTGAGTTTTTCTTTTAGGTTTCCTGTATTATTTCTCTTAAAATATAGTGGCTAGTTTACTTATGGAATAAGAATAACATAGTAAGTTTTATTTTTATTTTTTCAGTTTCAATTTGTTTTTAAATAATTAGAGGATTTTTTAAGCTAAAATAATGATTTTACTATAGAGATGAGAAACTTTTGGTGGAATTACTCATGCTTTTTCCTTTAATGAAAAGATTGATCTGATCCACTTGACTGTGATTTAACTGGAGCCTAATGAAAGCTATCGGAAGCCACTCTTTGTTGAGTACTGAGTCTCTTAATACTGCTAAATCAGTCTTCTCCAGAGCCTTTTTCATCTTGCTCTCACAATTCCCCAAGGTGTAGAAAATGTCATAGCCTTCAGGGAATTTGTTTGTTCATCAACCTTTGATGTGCAACTGTTGATGGGATTGGGATCAGAAGTTTTAATGTTTATAGGTCTTTGTGACTAGGAGGAGCCCTTTACCTGCTTTACCTACCTTTACCTGCTACATGAGTATCGCTGAAACCAGAAGTGTGTGTCACAGCTTTCTAAAGTTGTGTATAAATTGTTGCTTCCAGTATTACAAAGTGCACCCTAGCAGTGATACCACATGTATGAGGGTGTGTGATTATTTTGCAGATTGCTGGCACTTGTCTTGCATTGTGTCTATCAAGTGATTTGAAATCATTATCAGTGGTCGCAGAGGTTTCCACTGGTGATGCTTCAAAGGTTTCATACTTTCAGCTATGTACTGGAATTTCATAATTGTAGAGATTAAGAATATGTTTTAGTTTTTCTGTTGTTTTTTAGGGGTGGTTGGTGCTGAGAGTTGACAGGACGTTCTAGCATGCTGTCCACCACTGAGCTGGGTCCCCACCTCTGTGGGTTTGTATCTATATCTCACTGTATTCTAATGGGCAGCAAAATAAAACATCTACGTGGAGTTTCTAAATTGTACATATTGAATGCTGTGGTAGTACTATTGTTTTCCACATAAAAACAATGTTTTGATGATCATGGCCCTACAAATTGGTTCCTATAACAGAATTACTTGGTTTTGAGCATTTTCTTGGGACTCAGTTATTAGTAATAATAAGGGCTGATATTCATCATTTATTATATGCCAAGCCCTTAGTGCCTTAAACACAACAACATATGGATAGGAATTGTTATTATACCTGAAGAAAGTACAGGGCACATACAAAAGCTCATAATTGGAAAGTGATACTAGGCAGTCTGCATTCAGGTTCTGTGCCTTTTTTCTCCTTCTAATGAGAGGAAGGCTTGCTCTGTAATCCAGACTGGCCTAGAACTTTAGGTTCTCCTGCTTTAGCCTCCCAAGTGTTGGGATTACAGGTGTGCACCATTAGGCTCTAAACATGCTTTTTGTGTAAAACATTTAAGTATTGGTGAGGGCTCTTTTATTGTGTGTATCATACATAATAAGATTAGGAAGCTGTTTGGGCTCTTGTTATTTAGATTGTACCTTTGCTTTGCCAAGAAAACTTCCCCAGTGTTTCCTCTGAAAATCCTATATGTTTATCCTAAGAATGTGTAAATTTTCAAACAAAGTAGAATAAAAGGATAGAAGATGTGAGGACTGCTTAGTGTCTTCAATAGCATGCTGTTCAGTGTTCCAGAGCACCCTAGACATAGAATTCACAACAATGGTAGTACACATTTGTGTCTTAAGGCTGAGCAACTGTGATCACCAGGCTGTATTTGTGCTATAATAGAGCAGCTCTTTTTTTTCTGTGAAATTTGTAAAAGTTTTTTTTTTTTTTTTGTCCTGGGGCTTGAACTCAGGGCTTGGGCACTGTCCCTGAGCTTCTTTTGCTCAAGGCTGACACTCTACTGCTTGAGCTACAGTGCCACTTTTGGCTTTTTCTGTTTATGTGGTACTGAGGAATCAAATCTAGGGCTTCATGCATGCTAGGCAAGCACTCTACAACTAAGCAACATTCCCAGCTAGTAATAGATTTTTTTTTTAATGACAACTTCTGTGTGATACAACTGGTAAGGGGTATTTTCTTTGTTTTTACCAGTAGTATTTTAATACCTTTTGATGCCTTCCCTTGGTTCTGATGCCTCCAACTTGGTTATGTTTCAAAGGGGACAGAATTCTGATTTGGTCTTCCTGATACTTAGTTACATCTTTGCTCCTCTTTAAGTTAGAGGATGCACACGTGTGCGCATGCACATGTGTGTGTATGTGTGTGTGTGTGTGTGTGTGTGTGTGTGTGTGTTTTACAGGAACAATTTATCTTTAAAAAAGTAAATACATCTGATTATGACTCAATTTATTCTTGTTTTTCAGCTTGAAACCAATCTGCTCTACTCCTTCTTACATGAAGTAACTCGGATGGCCAGGAAGTTTATTCACATTTCAGCTCTGTTGCAGGTATTTATTCATCACTTGCTTTCTAGAAGTATTTACTGTAACCTTTGTAATTTTATTTTTTAAAACTGAAGGCAGTTGGATGTCTATTCTGCTAATCTTACAATATTTATTAAAGCCAGAAAAAGTAATTTAATTAATCTACTCATCCAATCCTATCACCTCCAAATGAAAGGGAAAAAATAGTCAATCTTTTAAATGTTCCTGTTAATGTTACTTATACTTTATTGCAAATAAAATAGTCTTTTTATGATTTTAGCTTTTGATCATAAGAAAGATACTCCAAATTAGTAGATAATTTTGTAGGTTAGCAGTTTGGACTAAACTCAGCCAGAAAGTTGTGGTAATCTGTACCTGGTAGGGCTCACGTCACCCAGCCTGATCATGCAAGCTGATATGTGTCCCTGGCTGAAGTGGCTTTGTCTCTGCCCTGCATCCCTCATCTTCTAGCCAGCTAGTCCTGGGCTTTTTCTAGGGTAGTGGCAGCAAAGGTTTTAAGAGTACACATTGAGGGCTGGGAATGTGTCTCAGTGGTAGAATGCTTGCCTCACATGCATGAAGCCCTGGGTTCGATTCCTCAGTACCATGTACACAAAAAAGGCTAGAACTGGAGCAGTGGCTTAAGTGGCAGAGTGATAGCCTTGAACAAAAGAAGCTCAGGGACAGTGCCCAGGCCAAGTTCAAGCTCAGGACTGGCAAAAAATTAAATAAGAGTGTAAGTTGAACTGTGGTTTGTGGGACACTTCTATAATCCAGCAATTGGGAGGCTCAGGCAAGAATATTATAATATCAACTTGAGTTATATAGCAAGCTTGGGCTATATAACAAGATCCTGTCTCCCTCTCCCTCCCCTCAAAAAAAGTACAAGTCAAGATGTATAAACAACTTGAAGGCCCTGGCCTCAGCAGTGTTTTTTCTGCTATGTTCAGTTAGAGCAAGTTATAGGGCAGCCAGGTGCAAGGTGAGGAGAATAAGTCAGGATAGAAGAACTGTAAAGAATTCAGGCCATTTTTTTCATTATTGTTCTACCACAGCCATTAATTTACTTGATGGCAAACATAACTAGGGGTCGAAATCTTTTAAGGGTCCTCTGACAGTTTAATAGTTGAACAAATGAACATTTTGACAGTGTAATAAAACACAGCTTAAATAATAAAATGTAAAAGATGTTTGTTTTACTAGGTACAGAAATGTTCTTTTGAAATGAAGGAAGGGGTAACACTGTGCAAAAAGAAATGTACTCATTACCTTTCTTATGTAACTGTAACCCCTCTGTATATTACCTTTACAATAAAATTTAAGTATAAAAAAAGTTCCTTTTTAAAGTTCTAAGAATCATTGATTCTTTGGTAAAAATAGTTGTTACCAAACAGTTAGACCCTGGTGGCTTACACCTGTAATCCTAGCTACTTAAGAGGCTCAGATCTTAGGATCATGGTTCAAGGCCAGCCCAGGCAGTAAAGTCTATGAGACTTTTAGTTCCATTTAACCACCAGAAAATAGGAGGTAGCACTGTGGTTCAAGGTGGTAAGGAGCTAGCCTTGAGCAAAAGAGCTCAGGGACAGTCCCCAGACCACAAGTTCAAGCCCCACAATTGGAAAAAAAAAAAAAAAAAAGAAGTTACCAAAGGTTAGCTATGGTCTTCTCTTTTCCTTTGGCTTAACTAAATTAATTAGGGTGGTTGAAAGTAAGTTCTGGATTTTTTGTGACCTTAAGAAGCACATATTATGTAGAATGTGGGTTTAAAATATTTTCTTCTTTTTGCTAATAGTATATAAATTTGTCACTGACATGTATGTGTGAAGCATGGGAAGAAATACTGATGCAGATGGATTCTCGTCTCACTAAGTTTGTGCAGGTAATGTAACTGACATTTCCTGTGGAAAGAGTTTAAAAGTCTATTTGCTTCATATGCTATATGAGAAAGGTCAGTTTAATTTATGAAATGTTAAGACAATTTCTTCAGACAGCTTGGCCTAACGACTATTTTCACAGAAAATATTTGCAAAAAGGAGTCTATAGTAGGTTTTGTTACTATAACAAAGTACCTGAACTTGGGTAATGTATACAGAAAAGAGGTTTTGTAGACTAGAAGTCCCAGATTGTGTGGCTCTGTTATTTTCTTCCTCTGGGAGATGGCATCTTGGCAGAGGGATCACTTTGTGACCCAGGAACCAGAAAGTAGAGAAGGGTGGTCTTGCTCTTTTAGAATAACTCACTCTGCAGGATCTAACCAGGTTCCTATGAGAACTACATTTTCTTCACATAGCAGCACCCCCAGTGACCTAACCACCTCCCAGTATGCCTTACCTCTTAAAGATTCCACTACCTCAGCAGCATCATAATACATGAACCGTTGGGGGACAAACCATATCAGATCCATAGCTGACTCTTCCACCATTGGAACAACTTAATGCAGTGGGTGGGCTTTGGGAATGAGGAAGCTATTGAAACAGCTGACTGGTTGTCTCCAGTCACTGAACCTCAGATATTTCCTATATATAAGGGCTTGAGAGAAGACAGAGGAAAGAACAGTGAGTAGATGTACTTTATAAGCTGCAAAACATGTATCACATATTTCTTTTTATTTTATCTAGGAAAAGAACACAACCACATCAGTACAGGATGAATTTATGCACTTGCTGTTGTGGGGGAAGGCAAGGTAATAAACTCCTCCTTTTCCTCCCTTCTCCCCCGATTGGTTGTAGGGCTTGAACTCAGGGCCTATATGCTGTCCTTAAGATCTTTTCGCTCTACCACTTTGAGCCACATCCCTGCTTCCAGTTTTTTGAGTGGTTAACTGGAAATAAGACTCTCACAGGGACTTCTCTGTTTGGGCTGTCTTTTTTTCTGTCCTGGAGCCTGAACTCTGGGCCTAGGCTCTGTCCCTGAGCTCTTCAGCTCAAGGCTAGCACTCTACCACTTGAGCCACAGCGACACTTCAGGCCTTTTCTGCTTATGTAATGCTGAGGAATCCAACCCAGGGCCTCATGCATGCAAGGCAAGCACTCTACCACTGAGCCCAGCCCTGTCTGGGCTGTCTTTGAATCACAATCCTTAGATATCAACCTCCTGAGTAGCTAGGATTATAGGCATGAGCCACTGATGCCCTGTTTCACCTCTCTCTCCCCTTTTTAAATCAATTTATTTTAAAAGTAAATAAAAATGAATAATTCATTTGTCCAAATGAAATAGAAAATTCTGGTATAAAAAGAGTATTAGGAGTATAGATCTCCAGGTTTTTGGATACACCCTTTTGGGTTAATGTGATCATTTTGTACAGAAATTTTAGTTTTTATGTTGCCAAACTAAACTTTTTCTTTTTGGTATCTTAGAACTTTCCCCATCTTAAGAGCATGAAAAGGTTAATCTGTATTTACTTCTGGGATTATTTTTTATGGTTTTCATTTATTCCCTCCCGTGTTTCAGATGTGATTTCCATGGTGCTTTGTGGAAACCTCTGCCATCTTTTTCCTAAATGCTTAGATTGGTACAATATGGCTTAGTGAGCATTGCCCTTTGCCTTACTAAGCTAAGTCCTTTTTAATATGCAGTGTATCCTCATGTGTACTTAAGTGTGTTAGGGTTATGTTTTTGTTTCTTTTTGTATACAAAAGGAAGTTGTATTTTTTTAAGAAAGTTGTATTTTTGTTGGGAGTAGTTTTACTTTGTTCCAAAATCTTGTTTTTTCTTTAAAATCTATGATTTTAAGCAATGTGTACAGATTTTAGATGGGGAAATGACTAAAAAATCCTTTTTCATTGTAGTGCTGAACTTCAGCCCCTTTTGGTGAACCAGCTAACTGTAAAGGTGCTGTTAAAGTCATCATATTCCAGTATTCAGAAGCTGGTTATAAGTCATTTGCAGAGGTATAAAGATGATGGGCATTGCTTTGGTCTTTCTGAAAATTTACCTTTATTGTCTGGCATTTTCTTCTGGAATCTTTCCTAGCTGAATTTTTTTTTTTTTTTTGTCAGTCATGGGGCTTGAACTTTGGGCCTGGGCGCTGTCCCTCAGCTCTTCAGCTCAAGGCGAGCGCTCTACCACTTGAGCTACAGTGCCACTACCCTGAAAATTTTTTAATAATAATTTTTAGTGAGATTAAGTGATTATATAAATGTCACAAATTTCATAGTACTGTAGAATAGTGATATTTTGTTAAAATCACAAACACATTTTAACCTTTGCAAGGCAAATTGTCATTATCTTGGTCTATAAAGTTTGTGAATTCTATGAGCTTTGACAATATTTCTTCTGCTTTGGGTGATAAATATATTTCTTTCCTTTTGCTTAGTGTTAGCTGTTCCCTCTTTCCCTCTCATTCCCTCCCTCCCTTGAGTTCTTTAGTTCATTTTCATCAATGTCCAGTGTAGCTGATGGGTTCCTCTGTTGTATTTTTTCACCTGTTTCCCTCTGATTCCATGCCTTCCTCCTAGGTTCCCTTAGATGTGTGCACATATATACCCTATATGAGGTCAAGAACATGGAGTCATTTAGAAATTATATGGCAGATTAAGTAGATGTCCTTGGTTTCTTGAGTCCTGTTTACTTTGTCGTATTTCCTTGCGTTTTGGATTTTAACATCCTCATATCAGGAAGAACATGTGCTATTTGTCTCTCTGCTCTTGTCTTACCTCACTCACACTGATTCATTTTAGTTCCATCCATTTCTCTGCATCTGGGTTGTTTCTATATCTTGGCTATTTATTGTGAATAGTGCCTAGCTGAAATTTTTGCATTGGCATTTGAAGGGGAATCTTGGCACACTCAAGTGTAAAGATTATTTCTGCTTCATGAAATAATTTTTCACTATCTTTTCACCAAGCAAGTCTCCCATCTGGATCCCCCCACTAAACTATAAGGTATATTTTGAAATAGAGCATATATTCCTTTTTTTGTTCCACAGAGAAAATTGAGTATGTTGTATATTTTATCTTGTAAAACATATTGTGTATTTTTCATTCAACACCCTAGAATTTTGTTCTGAGTCTCATTTTACCAGGATGAAACTGAATTAGTTATATGGATGGCCCAAAGATAGTACATGGCAGAGCCACGATTCCTTTTAGTGTTCCAGGTCTCGTGTTGTTCCTTTCCATAGCTGCTTGAGTGACAGTTTTACAAGCGGATGCTGAATGTTCAGTTTAAATTTGTATACAGCCCGTTATGTAATGCCTTCTGCACTGGTCTTTCTATACTTTGTTCCACAAATGTCTGGTCTTTTTACTCTTCTTTTTCCTTTTCTTGCAATGCTCTGGGTCAAAACCAGGGTCTTGTATATGCTGGGCAAGCATTCTACTAGTGAGCTATATCCCCATCCCTGTAGAATGTGTATTCCTTAGTAAATCCAATAGAATACCTCTCACAGATGCTCCTGGTCCCTTCTTTTTGATCAGTCCCCATATTTTTTCACCAGTCCCCATATTAACTCATATTACACTTATACCCTTGTCCTATGCATTCCCCTCAAGGCATTTATGGCCATTGGGAAGATTACACTGTATGATCATGTGGTTGAGACCTGTCTCCCCTGTTATGCTGTAATTTCTGTGGTCACAAGGACCTGATTCTTGTCAGCTTTCTGTCCCTCGCATCTAGCACAATGTCTGACACAAAGTTGGATATCAAAAACTATTTGTTTAGTATTGGGTAGATATGGGTGAACAAGATTGCCTACTGGCTGTCTTTAAAGTGCCAAGATTGGGGCTAAGGGGTAGCTTAGTGGTTGAGCACTTGCTAGCTTATGCAAGGCCCTAGCTTCATCCCTAGCATGGCCCCTCCCCCCAGATAGTGCCAGGACTGTGAAACACAATTTGTTCATATAAAATTTAATCGTATTGTCATGTATATTCATTTCAGTAGATGATAGCCAGATGATTGTGCTTACGTTTACAGAACTAGAGATACAATTTTTTAATGGCAAGAAAATTAAATAGTTACCTTAAATTTTTATTTCTGAAAAATTGGAACTGTCTACCACTGCCTACCACCCTGACTAAGTAATGATACTATGTCTCCTGTGACTAAGTAATGATACGATGTCTCCTGTGACTAAGTAATGATACTATGTCTCCTGTGACTAAGTAATGATACTATGTCTCCTGTTGTGCTAGTGGCTCATAGTCTTTATTGTATCATTTGAGTGAACTGAAAGGAATGGCTTCATGGAAGCAAAAATACAAACCCCTTGGACTGGATGCTATGGGAATTGAAGGCAGTGATTTAATATCTCAACAGAATATATTAGATATAGTTTACTTATTTAACAAGGACTATTTCTTTATATTTTTTATTTCCTTTTAGATTGCTATTGATTGTGAATATTTACATTTGAAATTAATAAGAACCTTACACACATACCTGTAATCCCAGTGCTTGGTATGCTAAGGCAAAAGGATTGTAAGTTTATTTAATCATACAAAGAGTTTCAAGTCTACGAAATTTAACTTTGATTCAGTTTTTAATCTATTTATATTTGGCTAGTATGTCCAGTACAGTAAGATACAGTTTAGGAATACATTTTACTTTCTCTTTCTGTTGAGCTGTTTTTCTTTTCTTTCTTTCTTTTTTTTTTTTTTTGGTGCCAGTCTCAGAACTTAAACTCAAGGCCTGAGTGCTGTCCCTGAGCTTTTTCTCAAGGCTAGCATTCTACCATTTGCTCCATTTCTGGCTTTTGGTGATTAGTTGGAGTTTATGAATCTCCTGGATTTTCCTGTCTGGGGTGTCTTTGAACTGCAGGCCTCAGATCTCAGCACCTGAGTATCTAGGATGAGGCGTGAACCGCCAGCACCAAGCTTCTCAGGCTCTCTTGTCATTCCTGGCTGTTGGCTCTTTGAGCTGTCTGTACTTGGCTTCTCCTGGGGAACTTTGTCACTCACCAGTATTCAGTACTTCTGAAACTAGTTTTAAGTTGTTCTTTACTCTTTATTTTTCTAAGTTTATAATACATATGCTTCCTCCTGTTCACTGTCATTATAATTGGGCTCTAGAAAGTGAAAGCTCCAGCACTTGCTCAGAAGACAAAGTGAGAGGAGAAATGACATTGCTTTTCCTGTGTTTTGGAATATTTTTGGAATTTACATTTGCTGAGAGCAAATATGATATACTAAGTTTTCTAGGATTACCTCTCACGATGAATAGAAAGTATTTAACTTCTTGATCCTCTTAAGTAGAAAAAATGTCACTACGAAGGGTTACAGATGGAGGAACAGAGCAGTGGGGGAGGGCTTTAGTGTGGTCTGGTTGCGTTAGGTAGGGGTGAAGGTATTAGTTAGGTAGAACACAGAGAAACTTTGTTTTTCACTGGTGCTGCAAGAGAATGTTAGTTACCTTACTTGATAACATAGGAGTGCTGCAATCTTTGATTTCCTAGTAGGGTGATTGATACTGATCTACCTCTCAGTGATATTATGAAACATAAAAAAAAATACTTGTACTGCTGGGAACGTAGCTCACTGGCACACTGTTGTCTAGTATGCACAGGCTCCCGGTTCTGGTCTTAGGACCTCAAGGAAAATCAGTACAGGTATTATTTGCTTACTGTAATTATCACATAGAAGTAAACTTAAAGAGTTTATAAAAATTGAACTCATCTCTGTATTCAGAAAGTTCACCAAAATGAAGATGAGTTTGATTTATAATACTTAACGTTTTTTCATTTGTGTCAAATCCAAGAGAATTCAATTTTTGAGACCTCATTTATTTGTTGGACTAAAAAATCAGTTTCATAAAATGATGTCCAGTGGTATCAGACATTGTGACATAACATAAGTTTATAGTAGTAACTTCCTCTTGGAGTCAGTTTTTTTTTTTATTGATTAGTAATTTTTTAACAAAAAATAATGTGGGAAAATTTTTTCCTCACTTACTTGCAGAGTTAGGAAAAGAATTCATATGTCACAGAATTCTGGGAAAGATTCAGGTTTTTGGAAACACAGTTACAACCAGTTAGTATCATTTATTTGCTTAATTTTTTGAAAGAATCGAGATGTGTTTTGTTTTTGATTGCCTTAATTTTAGGAATATAATAATGTTTGGCTTGTAAAATCTGCTCTTCTAAGGGCTTAAATCCTGACAAGACAAAGAAGAACAGTAAGGTTTATTTTACTCTGTGACAGTTGAACAGTACTACATGAACTTTTTTTTTTCTGATTTGTTTATCTTTTTAGAATTATAGACATTAGTATAAAGAATTTCAAGGCATTTTTCCGGTGGCTTTATGTGGGTAAGTTAACTTTAACATTGTTGTTTTAACACTTTTGAAAACTGTGGAAATACATCTTAGATTTGAATTAGTCTGTTAAAATTTCAAATACTTATAAAATAGTATAATGAGCCTCCTTGTTTCCTTCTTTCACCCAGCTTCAACTGTTGTCCATCTATGGCAGTCCTATTTCACCTACTCCATGCTTCCCCCGTAGAAGTATTAAAGCTAATTTGTAACACCTGTGCCCCTTACACTCACTAGTACAGTGATCCCTTACCTATCTTGGGAGTTAAGTTCCAGACACCCCCATGATAGGTGAAAATCCCATGCTCTATTGTGGTTCACTTATTGCTCTGGAAAGTAACTACATGATAGGTGAGGGATCAATATTTCTGGTTTGTTTTGTTTTGTTTTTTAAACCTGGGATGCAATGAAGCTACAATACAGCGAGGGACAACTGTATTTCCTTAGGTTAAAATTGAGTGTTTGAGCCCTTGCTATATATTGGGCACGGGTATAAGATTTTCAAAAAGCCCTTCAGTAGCTTGTGTTACATTTTACACTCTGTTCTTCAGTCTCTGGAGCTGTGTGGTCCATGGTGGTAACCACTAACTAGCCTGTGGCTGTTGAATTGATTGAAATCATCTAAAATTACACATTTAGTTATGTAGTCAGGCTAGCCTCTTTGAAGTTCCTAGGACTCACAGATGATCAGTGACAGCACAGAACTGAGACCTTGCTATTACATTTTCATGGGCAGTGGTGCCCTTGCTAAGTGGTACACAGACTACTTTAGGACTTTCTTTGTAATGCCACTACGTCTTTGCCATTGGGTAGGCAGTTTAATTAACAAATACCTGTTGACTTCACATGAGATGGTTTGATCACCACTCTGAGGTACTTGCATTTTTTTAGGCCCATTTATACTGCTATTTTTGTGAAGTATATTCTTTAAATAATGAAACAAACATTTCTCTCCAACATATGCAACATTTAGTTTTATGTCTCATATTTGTTAAAATTTAGAGTGAAATACAAGATAAATTCCTTTTGATATGCTAATACTGCAGTGTCCAGATGTTCAGTTCTAATATTACAAAAGCAGACTTTATGCTTATCACTCTACTATAGTTACTTTTGTTTAAAACCTGAATGTGATCTTAAGTTACTTGAATTCTTGGTTGGATATTTTTGTTTGTTTCCTTTTTTTCAACTGTATGATTGATAGTTGGAATAGGGAACTGGAGTTTTTTCAGGCTAGCTTGTTGCAGATCTGAGTTTTAATTAGAATAAATTGCAATATTAAAAGTAGGACTTTAGAAATCCTTTCTCTGATAGGATTAGTGGTTTAGTTTTACTTATAATTATTGCGTGCTCTAACTAAGCATCAGCAGTAGAAGAGCAGTGAGTAACTGCTCAGTTCTTATCTCCAGAATGTGACACTGTTGTCACCCTGGCTTTGTCACTGACACGAGGTTATAACTTTGTTGTATTTTTTTGGTAAAATGTAATTTCCATGAAGGCATTTTTACTGCTCTGCCCCCAGCAGCATAATCAATAAGGTTTTGTTTGGGGTGAGGACCAACAATCCTGAATATATTTCAGATCCTGATTAAGTCAGATTTTAGTTCATCTTTAGTTTAATTGTTCAAAGAGAAAGTTTTTTGTAGTAAAAAGAAACTGTTCAAATGGAAAATTTAGTTCAGTAAACTTCATTTGGTCTTTGAGGTATATCTGTAATAAAAATTACATTTCAAGATAATTTTTAACTTTGTATTTCCAGCCATGTTGAGAATGACTGAAGACCATGTGCTTCCTGAGCTGAATAAGGTATGCACAGAAGTACGTCTGGCCAGCCCTGTGTGTCAGCAGGTTCCATCTCAGTAGATTCAACCAACCACCAATGAAAAATATTCTGAAAATAATGCATCTGTTCCAAATATATGTACTTGTTTTTCTCTTTACTATTCCTTACACAATACAACAATAGTTATTTACATTGTATTAGGTGTTACAAGCACTCTAAATGGGATTTAAAGTGTACAGGAGGATGTGTTTTCTTATATAAAGATCTTGAGCACCTGTGGATTGTGTTATCTGTGGGGGTCTTAGAACCAATCTCTCAGATAACAGGGGACACCTGTGTAATTTCCTTACCTATTGTCCTGATTGAGCTCAGCCTTGCTCATGGTTTTGGTACTCTTACAGAGTTAGATAACAGGACGTTGGGCTTGTTATCTAAAGAAATTTGAGTGTTTGCATAATATTTTCATCTCGAGGAATACTGTTACGGATATTTGAATTTACAATTTTCATGTTTGAATGAGGTTTTATAATTCTTACAACATAGCATCCTTATACTCTTTAACTGCCTTAAGTCTTTTTATTATTGTGAAAATATTGTACAGAGGGGGTTACAATTACATGGGCAAGATAATGAGTACACTTCTTATCAAGCATTGTAGCCTCCTCCTTTGTTTCCCCTTCCCATCCCAACCTCCCCCTTCCCCCCCCCGCTCCCCCACTTAACCCTCCTCCCCCCCCACCAAAGTTGTAAAGTTCGTTTTCGACATATGACTTGTACATCTCATTTTTTTTAGTTGGGGCCTGAACCTGGGCCTGGGCGCTGTCCCTCAGCTCTTCAGCTCAAGGCTAGCGCTCTACCACTTGAGCCACAGTGCCACTTCTGGCTTTTTTTTTGCTTATGTGGTGCTGAGGAATCAAACCCAGGGCCTCATGCATGCAAGGCAAGCGCTCTACCACTGAGCCACCTTCCCAGCCATTGTACATCTCATTGTTGCAATGGGTCCACCTGTATCCCTACTTCAATGATTTGTTTTTTCCCTTCCCCTCCACAAATTATAACAACATCAAATACAGTGATAGCAGGGGTTATTCCATGGGGGGGGGACATACAAATGAACAAAGAAATAATCTTATAAATGTGATAGAAACAATCGCATGAAAGAAAAAACAAACATTTGAATACACATCTTAGGGTTCATTTCCCTAACATCAACTTATCTGACCTTTTTGGCTTGACTCAGACATATACTAAGTATTGAAAACAAGGGAAACCATGGGACCTATGTTTCTTTGGGCCTGGCTTTCTTCACTTAATATAATTTTTTCCAAGACTTTCCATTTCCTAACAAATGGGGCAATGTCATTCTTTCTGATGGAGGCATAGAATTCCATTGTGTATATATACCACATTTTCTTGATCCACTCCATCTACTAAGGGGCATCTGGGTTGGTTCTATATTTTATGCCTTAAAGTCTTAAACGCATTTTATTTTCCTTGAAATATAAGTACTTAAATGTTGTACCTAAGTTGAAGCCTGGAAATGAGCAGTTTCTTTCTGTGAGGATGTGGAAAGAAGCATTCCCTGAAAGTGAGCTTAGAGAACAGCCAGCCTCCTCCTTGCTCCCCACAGCCCACTCACCTGCACCCAGGCCCAAACTGTGGATTCAGGCAAATTATTGGGAAGCTTACTTTTTACCTTGATTTGTTTTCTTTTTGCCCCTTTTTGTTAATAGATGACTCAGAAAGATATCACATTTGTTACTGAATTTCTTACTGAACATTTCTATGAGGAAAGAAATGGCTATTTTTACAATTAAGTCACTTTGAAAATAATCACAGAAAAGATAGTTCATGGTTAAAAAGTAATTAGCAATTACTTTTATAAAAAGACTAATTTTAAAAAGACTAAACATAAAGTCTATAAGTAGACTTCTGTTTGTATGTACTTACAATCTGCAAAAAACTAAATGCAATGGATAGCTGTTTTATAAAATACATATTGAGTTTGTTAATTTTAAGATTATTTTCTTAATATTTTGAGCTTTTAGAAATAAACTATGTTTGTTCTTTCTAGGCTCCAGACTTTTATAATCGAAAAAGAAAATAATGTTGAAAAAGTTGGTCAGGTATGGGCTTTCTATTGAACTTGGTTTGATTTTTAAGAACGAATTTTAAGACTTTGTACTGTTAATTCATATTATCTAAAGTTTATGGAAAATAATATAATGCCAGTATAACTGGCATTGTTGTGTATTTTCTCAGCTGTCTTTGATGTCCAGCTTAATAGAAGACAGCTAATTTTAATGTCTACCTATGTGTTTATTCTGTTTTAATATGCTAATTTGCTTAATGTATATAAGGAAAATCTAACTTCAAGCAGGTGTGTGTCCTTGGAAAGGAGAAAGTACTGAACTAGTTTTGTCCTTTAACTGAGGATATTCTTTAATATTATACAAAATCCTTCCAAGTGTTGGTCTCTTGGAAGTTTTTAATGTGGAATCTAAAATTGGGTTAGTAGACACTTCATACTCAGTTTCATTAAAAATCTCTCCATCTTCCTTGCACTTTGAAAGGCACTTTTACTCATGCTTGTTTTCATAGCATCATAACTTGGTCTTTTTAGAACTATTGGTTCTGTGGCTTTTACAGATCTTTTTAAGTACTGATGCCTTCCATTATACATTATAAATATCAGGTGACTTCAGTCTACTCTAATCAGTCTTTAGTTACTGTGAAGCTGTCAGGCACTCAGTAACAGATGCAGGTGCCAACATTTTGAGTTTTGCTTAAAAGTTGCTTTTTTTTTGAGACAGGGTCTTGCTCTATAGGCCTTAAACTTGTGATATTCCTGCCTCATCCTCTTCTAAGTGCTGGAATTACAGGCCGTTAGAACCAAGTTTAGCTGAAATGTTATTTGCAATAAATATTTTAGGTTGTTTTGTTCAAAGTCACTTTATTTTCAAGAAAATACCTGCCAAAAGTAAGAGTTTGAGGGGGTAGAGGGATGGATGAGTATGCATGTTCAAAGGGGTAACATTGACCAAGACATATTTGTCCATAAGCTGAACAATGGCAACTCCTTGTGCATCTATTTAATAAAATAAATAAAAAATTTTAAATTAAAAAATACCTCGCAAACATCTAAGTATGAAGAATCAGTTTGTCCCCTAGTCTTTTGTTTCCAAGTAAAAATGGAATGTCATTTTTAAAATTATTTATTTATTTATTATTGTGAAAATACTGTACAGAGGGGTTACAATTACATGGGCAAGATAATGAGTACATTTCTTATCAAGTATTGTAGCCTCCTCCTTAGTTTCCCCTTCCCATCCCTTCCCATCCTCCCCCCTGGAATGTCATTTTTTACAAAATGTCTGCCTTTACAACTGAAACAAGACAGTTTCAGTCTTTCTTCAAGACAACTTTGCATGCTTTGATGTGTTGTAAAATCACCCCTGTGTGCCTCCCAACTCTGTCTCAAAAAACGTTAAAAGATCTGCCATCAAGACTTGAGAATTAACAATTTAATAGTTCTATCAGGATAAATGAAACTGAATATGTGACAAAGAACACAAGAATTTGGTCCACTAGGTGAGGGGTGCAGGTACTGGCTGTTCTTTCTTCCACACCTTCAGTGCAAATGTTGACACCGTGAAAGGGCAAGTGACACCTTGGCACTAAAGCTGGCATTAACCTTGTAGTCAATGGAAGCATGCTGAGCACTCTCAGGGATGGGGCTACACTGTGAGAACTGCCCTTGTGGAGCATACTGTCAGTTGGTACTTGTAAAACTAAAATATAGCCCTGATAGGTAAGGTTAAAATATATCTTGAAAATGAACCACAAAAAGTTTCTGGTTTCTACATTTACTGTACTCTGACCATTTAAGTCATTTTCATGTTGTCTAGAATTTGTCACCTCACTTAGAAAAATAATGTACCTTCAGAGAACCTGGCAGTACAACAAGATAACTTACTAACTAGAATAATGTTAAATACAGATTAGAGCCTGAATCATTGCTTAACTGAAAAAATTTTTAACTATTTTTAGTATTTGAAAGATGAAGATGATGGCCTTGTATCACCCCTAACATGGAAGGAAACCAGTGGTATGACTTCCTCCAAAACAGCAGCCATCTTAAAGGTACTTTATGAACCAAGCAGATGTTGGCCATGTTTATACTTATTTGAGATTAAAGAGTAACCTCAAAATTTGTCTAATTTCTTCAGGCTTACTTGGCATGTCCATTTTATTTGATTAGAGAACAGCATTTTAACAAATAGAGTATGATGTCACCATGATAGATAGAAAACACCCTGAAATTAACTGTGCTGTGGTACATTAACTATGCTGACACTAAAATTATTTTTCCCTCCTGACACCAGCCAGTTATGATACCAGCTGAAGGTCCTGCAATGCAATTCATTGCAGTTATGACACTGAGCACCCACAACGAGCATTAGCCTCCAGGGGGAGGAAGGCTCAGTCCGCTAGACTCCTCACATTACATCAGTCCCAAGAGCTAGGTTCCCTTACCCACACCTCTGTGGGACTTGACTATGGGACATATGTCCCAACTTTCTCCCTTAAGTTGGCATAGCTTCCAGACTAGTGTACAATGCTCAGGAACACATTCAGCTTTCCTTTCCAGACTGTTTGTAATAAAAATTTAACTTGGGCATAGCCCAGTGGAAAACATCATTCAGGGTTTGATATGGAGGAAGAGCCCACAGCTTTTAGATCCTCCCAGCACTCAACATGTTCACCAACCAGGGAGCCATCCAAACCTCCCCAGTGTCTTTTTTTTTAATTATTAAGAAGGTTAGTAAAGAAGGGTTATGGTGGGCTGGGAAGTTGGCTCAGTGGTAGAGGGCTTGCCTTGCATGCATCAAGCCCTGGGTTTCATTCCTCAGGACCACATAAGCAGAAAAAGCTGGAAGTGGCTCTGTGGCTCAAGTGGTACGGTGCTAGCCTTGAGCTGAAGAGCTGAGGGACAGCTCCCAGGCAAAGAGTTCAGGCCCCAGGACCAGAAAAAAAGAAAAAAGAAAAAAAAAGAAAGTTTATGGTTACGTAAGGCAGGTAAAGATTACATTTCTTTTTTTTGACAATGTCACCCTTTCCCTTACTCTCTCCCAGTTTGTCTTGGGTTTTTGATGGAGGCTTTATTATAATGATTAAGTCACTGGGGTAGAATTCAACCCCAAACCCCTATTCCTTTCCTGCAGTCTGGCAGATGGAGCTGAAAGTTATAAGCTTCTGGTTAAGGCATAGTCTTTCCACCCCACCCAACCCTGAGGCTTTGCAGGAACCTGCCAGAGTGGCCACATTAAAATTGGCCATCACATTTACTACTCAGGATATCTGGGTTTCAGGAGCTGAGTTTTGGGAACTGGGGACAAAGGCAACATGTTTTTGTGTAATCACCTAGTATGTCACCTCTTGAACCTTAAAGTGCTGAAATGATGATTTTTTTTACCTAACACAGCTGTGAAGGGAAGTGCTGAGTGTGGGAGAGACAGTCTCAGAGCCATTTGAGCTGGTGGGCCTGAGTCACAGCTTGATTCACAGCTCTTTTCATCCCAGGCAGTTCCAGAGGCCCAGTAGGCCTCTTTGTTTTTTTTTCCTTTTAAGTTGGAGAATACGATGAGTTCTTATGGATATTGTAATACTGTATAAAAAAACCATTTTAAAATAAAAAGCACACTGAATACAACAGCAAAAAAGAAACAAAGCTAGCAGTGGCAGAGTAGCCTGGACTGCTGCTGCTATCACATTGTGGCAGAGTTGAGAAGAAAGAACAGGTTTCAGTACATAGCTTATGGTTTCCAATGCCTTCCATTTTTCTAATAGCCAATAGCATTTTACTGTTGGGCTTTGGTGTAGGACTAAGCATGAGAAGGACCAAGCGAATGTAGTTGTATTAAGTGGACTGGATTGAAGGGAGATTCTGGTCATTTATTTTAACAAGGTATGTCCAAAGTATAATGAGAATTCCACCATGAAAAAGTATGGACTGCTTCTGACACTGGATTATTTTCTCCTAATCATTGGTTTGCTATAGTTTTTGTTTTGTTTCTGTTTTTGTCTGAAACCAGAAAGCCCTTTGCTGTTTCCTTATTATGCTCGAAAATCATTGCATTTTGTGAAAAGGCAAATGAAAACCATTATTGATCAGTGTTTGCAAATGACAGCAGTAAGTTGGGAAGAAATGCATGTCTTTGTGTGGGAACAAGAGTATAGTATGTCTCATCTATGTAAATGAACATATATATTAGGATAAATTGTAAAAATGCTGATATTCAACTGGTTTTGATTGTCAAAATTGGCAGTTTCTTATGGCTTGGTTATATCCATAGTTAATTCCTTATATAAATTTATTTTACTTTATGTATTTTTAAAATTATTATAAGGTAGGCACTTATGGCTCATGCCTGTAATCCTAGCTTCTCAGGAGACTGAGATCTGAGGATCAAGTTCAAAGCCAGCTAGGGCAGGAAAGGCCATGAGACTTATCTCCAATAAACCACTTAGAAAACCAGAAGTGGCACTGTGGCTCAAGTGGTAGAGCACTAGTCTTGAGCTGAAGAGCTGAGGGACAGAGTTCCCAGGCCCAGAGTTCAAACCCCACCACCGACAAAAAAAAAATTATTGTAAAGGTGATGTACAGAAAGGTTACAGTTACATAGGTCAGGTACTGAATACTGTACATTTCTTTTTCAACAATGTAACCCCCTCCCTCATTTTCTGCTCACATAAATTTAAAAATTATCGTCTTAGTATCTTTAGTGTTTTATTTGCCCCTCCAGATCAATCTCATTACAGTCTTAGTCCCAGAGCTGGTTTGTCTTGTCAGTGACTGATGTCATGAGACCAGAGGGAGGGAGTGGTCCTTTAGCACAGGCCAAGCAGGCTCCTCACCACTAGCTGCTCCCCTTCTCTCTAATGATGTTTCCAAATCTTGCTTTTCTGTAGGATGAAATTGGAAAATCAATGAATCAAGCCATCTGTATTCCGTTATATAGAGATGCTAGAAGGTAATCTTCTTTACCTGTTAGGTAGTATAATTTAGCAGCAAGTTTGAATTTTTCTCATTTTTTTTTTGCTTTT